TTTTTACTTACAATATCTAATAATTTATTATTAGATATTAATTATGGTTCAGATATTGCAATCCAGTATATGTATTTTTTAATGTGTGTGTGTGTGAGTGAGAGAGAGAGAGAGAGAAATTTATATTTAAAATTAGCTAGCTGTACTTAGTTTCAGTGATCCCAATTTTGTTGGCAACATCCAAAGCATCATAGTCAGGAACAAGTTGAACATAGGCCTTCTTCTCTCCATCAGGTGTGACCAAGGTGTTGACCTTGACCACCTCCATGTTGTAGAGCATCTTTACAGCTTGTTTGATTTAGTGCTTGTTGGCCTTAACATCACAGTGAACACAAGTGTGTTGTTATCTTCTATCTTCTTCATGGCTGACTCAGTGGTCGGGAGAAACTTGATGATGGCACAGTGGTCAAGCTTGTTTCTCCTGGGGGCGCTCTCCCAGGGGTTTTGGGCTGCCTTCAGAGTCTCAGTGTCTCAGGCTATCAGAAGGTAGGTGACGTACAGATCTTTTTTATCTTTGTGGCTGTGGATGCCCTTCAGGACGTCCTTCTTGGCATTTAACGCCTTTGCTTTGGCTTCTGTTTGGGAGGGATAGGGACTTCCTTCTTTGCTTTCAGCACTATCTTCATAAAAAGTGTCCATAAAATTTTTTAAGTCAACTAGCTCTTATTTGTTGAGTAAAATAAAAATATACATACAGATTGATTGGAACTTGTATTATATGCTTAGTGTTTCTTGTTTTCTACTATGCTTTATTTGATCAAAAGTGTTGCCTGATGTGATAAAAACTATACAGCCTCATAGCCAGGTTTTGGTCCTACATATCGAAGAGTTAGAAGAGAGAGTCAGCTAGTTTCTTTAAAAACTGACCTGCTTTTTCCAGGCATAATGTTTTCCATCCCTCTGTCTAAAAGGACAGTAGCAGAAGTTCTAGTCTTTACTTTAGAATACTTACAACCAGGCCATTTAGTTATAATTTTTGTAAACTGTTTCTAATCATTAACAACTAAAGAATAATTTCTTTTATAGTGTCAACACAAAGCTAATTCCTATGAAACAGAGGTTAAGGATGTTCCAGTGTCCAATTTTCTAGCCTGCTGTACCACTGTACTTCTCTAATACAATCTCCTCCTCCTCCTTTAGTACTCTCCCTCCCATCTTAGGGTTCAAGTTTATATAGATTTAACAATTTTCAGACAACATTGCTTTTAGCTTACTGTGAACAATTCAAATCTATGAACTTCTCCATGGGAGAAAGACAAATCAGTCTGTTCCGTAAAGATTTTGTCTCAGAAACCTGATGGAGGGCTATCAGATGATGAGTCAAAATCAACTCAACAGCTTTGGATGTTCTGATATCTTTCCTTAGGACATTGTAAATTTAGTGGACCTGTAGCATGGCCCATAGTAGTCTTAAGTTTAGTACTACTTTTATGTTGTTTTTGTTGTTTTGTGCCGTCAAGTCGCCTGCGACTCATAGCGACCCTATGTACAACAGCCCTAAACTCCGCTCTGTCTCCGACACTCCCATCCCAATTATCCCAGTCACTGAATTAATCCAGCTCATAGAGGGCCTTCCTCTCCTGCGCCGTCCCTCCACCCTCCCAAGCATGATGTCCCTCTCTAAGGACCGGTCTCTCCTCACAACATGTCCAAAGTATGTTAGACGGAGCCTCAGAATCCTTGCCTCCAAGGAGCCACCCGGTTTAACCCTTTCCAGGACAAATCTGTTTGTTTTCCTAGCAGTCCATGGCATTCTCAATACTCTTCTCCAGCACCACAGCTCAAAGGCATCAATTCTCCTTCTATCCTCCTTGTTCATTGTC